GGCCGCAGTACAAGGGACCTAGTCCCACCCCACTAGCAATAAAAAATAATACTTCCAGTTACGACCTGTAGGTCGTTAATAAACCCAATTACCAGTAAGAACCCCGTTTTTAGTCACTAATACGGGTGCTAATATTTTTCAAAATAATAAAACTTAAGCCACTGCTGTTGTTAGTAAGAATTCTAATTTGATACAGAATACTTGATCTCAAAAAAAGGGTAAGAAATATTGTAAAGATAACGGAAAGCAAAGCATAACAAATTTCAGCACCACGCCTTATAAGCGAGAAAATTTATTTCTTCATGCAAATTAAAGATAGAATCAATTGTTGTGGGAAATTAGTATAACTGGCTACAAATCTGTAAAACGGGTCACATACACGTACATACATACATACATACATATATACAAAAGGATCCCATAAGAGAAACAGAAATAAAGCATCAAATTCATGTATACAATTGAATTAATTGAATTCTGTTGAATAATATGAATCAATTTTCCCAGTACATTGTCCAAGTAACAATGCGACGCATAAGATTCATCAGTTTCATAGGGAAGTACAGAAAATAACTTAACTCAATGTAGCTGAACCCTTCTTGAGGAGCCGCCAGTTGTTCATCCCCTCAAGAACTACCCAATTATTACGGAACCCAACGATTCATTATCGTGGAAACAAGGACCATCCACTGGTCCCTATCCTGAGCCATATCAGTCCATTCCATAAGACCCCATCCTATCTCTCTAAGATCAATTTTAATATTAACCTCCCAATATGTCTAGATCTTCTTAGTGGCCTCCTTCCTTTTGACTTTCCCCCAAAATCCTATATGCATTTATCTTTTCCATTTCATACTACATGTCCTGCGCGTCTCATCCTCCTTGACTTGAACATTATAATTATTCTTGGCGAAGAGTGAAGTTAAGAAGCTCCTCAATATACAGTTTTCTCCAACCTCTTGTCACTTCATCCCTCTTCGGGCAAATATTCTCCTTAGTAACATATTCTCAGAGACACTCAGGCTATGTTCCTCCCAATGTTAGACACCAAGTTTCACGTCCATAGAGAACAACAGGCGCGGCCGGCGCGTAAGGCTGACAAACTTACAGTCATCTTTGAGCCGATTGTCTAGATCAGACGTGTCAAACATGCGGCCCCCATAGCCACTAAGTGCGGCCCCTCAACTTTTAGAACTAATTCAAATTAAAATCAATATTACAATTTTAGTAGAAATATTTTTTGTAAAGACAATTTTCCAAGAGACCAGAAGACAAGAAGTCTCACGCAGACATAAATTAGCAGGCTGCAGGAAATTCAATATTTTGCTATTTCTAACATAATTTCTTGTGTAATCTCTCTTTTTACATACTGAAAAGTTGTTTGATGCTTGTCAAAAATGGCATTCTCTTGCTTTTTAAAACTGTAAAATATGTGACTTTAGGTAATTATATTGAAATTATTCCTAAATAATAAATAGAATTAAATTTCCTTGTATCAAAAT